AGCTTAGATGAGAGTGTAAAATAATGTAAATTTGTTTTTATAATTAACAAGTATTTCACAGTGAGGGACTAAATGGCAGCCCTTGTGGTAAAGGTTGAAATGCCAAATTATTTTGGCTAATATGTCATGAAGCTCATGTATACCCTCAAAGTTCATATCAAAGAAACTTATCTCTCCCTCTTATTGAAAGAAAAATAGCAATTATCTGTAGCTATTAGGGGCTATGTCCCTATCGCAAGTCAATATTTGGAGATTCAAGTTTTCTAATCCATACTACATCCTCAGTCTTAAACTTGGAAAAAGTTTCAATCAGGGTTGGGATAAGATGTTAGGATGTTAATCCTTTGAAACCCAACAAATGTTATAAGGATGAACTAGTCAAAATTGGACTCACTTTAATTCTAAGTTGGCCTTTTGGGAACACAGAATTTCCAGAAAAACATTTTCTTCTGTCCAGACCCACAGGGAAATTAGGTGATTAGAAGTTGCAGTAACAAGATAGAAATGCACCTAATGATCAGACATAGGAAGCTGTAAATATCTCCTCATCTCCAGTCTCTCAGTGTGTGAGACCTTGGGCTGGCTGGGACCTGCTTGTGCTTTTGGGATCCTAGGAAACCTGTGCTTGCCTCCTTCCTACTGTCTTGTCTGGGCAGAGAGCTTCAGTCTGGATCACCCATCCATGAGGTTTGACTTTCACATGAAGACCTTCTCCTCAGAGTTCCTATCCAGGTGCATTCAGAGGTCCAGTAAGAACTGCAGGAAAGGGTCAGAGAGAGTGAAGATAAGCACATGTTCTTGAGATCTATTGACAGGCACCAGTCTGTGGCTGCTTGTCTGCTTAATTAACTAATTAATGACTGATTTATGATGGTAAAAGGAGAAGTGAACATTGACTAATTGCTGATAATTAACTGATGAATGTGGTAATTGAGCCATAAAGTGATTTAAGTAGAATCAGAATTTGTACACTGTGTTTTGCCACTAAAGGGAGTAGAAAAATAGATTAGTAGATATGGAGGAATATCCAGTCAGGTGAGGCAAGTCTTTATATCAAATCATGAGGACCAGAATTAGAGACATGAATTTGATCGTCAGATTACTAATGACTATGGTAAGAATGTGGATACAAAGCTAAATAAGATACAGGACCCTAACGACGGAACACAGCCAGATGACCTCTTATAACACACACTATATGTTAAAGTCTACATTTTCAGAAAGAGCAGATATGGTAGTGATCTATGAAGAAATGATATACCAAAAGGATTAAACTGTGCTCTTATATTTTCTTCTTCTATGAAATGATAGAAATAACTTTGGTGATCAAGTACAATTTCTTTCAATAGGAATATTCCAACTACTCTTTCAGTAAAATGAAAGAAAAATTACTCAGTATGATAGATTTCACTTCAAAATAAATTGTTCTTAATATATCCATGTAGACTCATTTGATCAATGGGAATTTCCAAATATTTCATCCAAGGTTTGAAATCATTTGGGAGAACAGAAAAAACAACAAAGGCAAAGCTGTTTAGGTATCACTAAATCAAGAAACTAATAAAGTGATTCAATGAAATTATATAGAAATCATAGAAAAAGAAAATCCAGAATATGAACAGGGAGTAAATGCTGCTTCCATAACTAGATAAAACATCACAACATCTGGCTCAGAGGCTTTGAGTCCAACTGTCATGTGCATTTCTTCAACCCTAGGACAACTGGACCTTTTATAGCTACTATCCCAATAAATTTTTGCAGGGCCCTCTTTATGTCTTTGTTCCTGAGACTATAGATGAAAGGGTTCAGCATGGGTGTGACCACTGTGTACATCACTGAGGCAGCTGCATTTGAGTGTGAGCTCTGGGTAAAAGCAGAACTGAGGTACACGCCTAAGGCTGTACCATAAAACAAGGAGACAACTGAGAGGTGAGATGCACAGGTAGAAAATGCCTTATACTTCCCCTGAGCTGATGGCATTCTACATATGGAGGACACTATCTTAGAGTAAGAATAAAGGATACAAACAAAGGGACCACCACCCAAGAGCACAGCTCCAAAATACATCTTCATGTTATTAAGAAAGTTGTCAGAACGGGCGAGTTGGACCATCTGATTGAGTTCACAGAAAAAGTGTCGGATTTCCAACTCCCTACAGAAGGTCAGTTGCATCAACATTAAGCATTGTAACAAGGAATGCAGGACACTTATGATCCAGGGCACCAGAACCAGAAGTCCATAGAGCCGAGGGTTCATGATGACCAAGTAGTGCAGGGGGTGGCAGATGGCCACATGTCTGTCATAGGCCATCACAGTCAGGAGGAAGTTGTCCAGTCCTGCAAATAGTAAGAAAAAATACATCTGGGTGATGCATCCTCCATAGGTTATGGCTTTGTTTTGTTTCTGGATGTTCCATAGCATCTTTGGGACAATGGTAGAAGTGAAAAAGATGTCTACCAAGGACAGGTTGGAGAGGAAGAAGTACATGGGTGTGTGGAGGTGGGAGTCTGAGCTGACTGCCAGGATGATGAGCAGGTTTCCCAACACAGTGACAAGGTACATGAAGAGGAAAAGCCCAAATGTGAGGGGCTGCAGTTCTGCTTCCTCTAATAATCCCAGAAGGAGAAATTCTGAAAATCCTGTGATGTTCCTAAGTTTGGTGGAGGTGACTACCAGGAATATATATATATATATATATATATATATATATATATATATATATATATATATATATTGGCATACACACACACACACACACACACACACATATATATATATATATTGATTGGCATATATATATATTGATTGGCATATATATATATTGGCATATATATATATATATATATATTTATATATATATATGATTTATTTCAGAGAGGAAGGGAGAGGAAGAGAGAGATAGAAATACCAATGATGATTCTCTACAGGGATCTTCTTCATGCCTCCTCCCAGGATTCTCCTGTACACCCACTACCAGAGATTGAGACTACTAACTGGGCATATGCCTTCACTGGAAATTGAACCATGACATCCTGGGTCAACATAGGGGAGCAACAGAGGAATTTAATGTTGTGTTCAAAGATATAAGCCAATAAAGAGATGGAGTTTTACCATGGCCATGACTGATGAGCAGACCCTGAGCAATAGATGAATGTTTACTCTGACATATGATTGCTGTAAAAGAGAGTGTTTAGGGATTGCCTATGTATAGGGATCAGAAAGCCTTGTTCATTTGCATCTACAGACTTTTATTGTAACAACAGTATGGGATAAAATTTAACTTTTATATACAATCAGCAGCGTAAGTATTCTTAGGAGGACATGTGTCTACAGTGTCCTTTAAGCAAGGTCACATAAAGATTCCAGTAAACAAAACAATCCAATCAAAAAAATGGGCAAATGCCGGGACCAGTTTGTCTCAGTGGTTAGAGCGTCGGCCTGCGGACTGAAAGGTCCCAGGTTCGATTCAGGTCAAGGGCATGTACCTTGGTTGTGGACACATCCCCAGTGGAGGGTGTGCAAGAGGCAACTGGTCGATGTTTCTTTCTCATCGACATTTCTAACTCTGTGTCCCTCTCAATTCCTCTCAGTGTAAAATCAATAAAATATATTAAAAAATGGGCAAAGTACCTAAATAGACACTTATTGAAAGAGGGCATACGGAAGGCCAAGAGACATATGAAAACATGCTCAAAGTCACTAATCATTTGAGAGATGCAAATCAAAACAACAAGGAGGTGCCATCTCACACCTGTCAGAATGGCTATCATCAACAGGACAAGTGCTGGAGAAAATGGAACCCTCATGCACTGCTGGTAGGAATGCAGAGTGGTGTAGTCACTGTTTTTGAGGAAACAGTATGAAGTTTCCTCAAAAAGTTAAAAATGGAACTCCCATTTGACCCAGTAATTCCACTTCTAGGAATATATCCCAAGAAATCAGAAACACTAATCAGAAGAGATATATGCAACCCGATATTCATAATAGCACAATTTACAACAGTTAAGATTTGGAAACAACCTAAGTGCCCATCAGCAGGTGAATGAGTTAGAAAACAGTGGTACATCCACACAATGGAATACTTTGCTTATGTAAAAAAGAAGGAATTCTTTCCATTTGCAACAACTAGGATTCACCTGAAGAGCTTTATGCTAAGGGAAATAAGCCAGTCAGAAAAAGATAAATATCACATGATCTCACTCATATCTATATATATATAAGGCTAATATGCAAAGTGTCCTCTGGGGAGTTTGACTGGGAGACCAGGAGTTCAATTGCTTTCTATAACAGGAGCTGACCACCAGTGGATGGTAAAGAATGAAGGAAGGTGCCAGCCGGCAGCCAGCAGCTGGGGAAGGATGGTCTTGGTCAGCAGCCAGACCCCTGATTGGCCCTGATTGCCTGCCAGGACTAGGAACCCTTCCAATGTACAAATTTCATGCACTGGGCCTCTAGTGTGGGATAAAATGAATAACATAAACTGATGAACAAAATTAGATCCAGAGACAAAGAAACACTGAACAAACTGTCCAACCTCAGAGGAAAGGTGGAGTGTGGGCAAGATATCAACCAAAGGATTTGAAGAATGCATGCATATGATAATAATCAATGGACAGGGACACTGGGGTAATGGGGGGTTGTCCCGGGAGGTGGGAGTGGCTAGGGGAGAGTTAATTGGAAAAGGAGACATATGTAATAATTTAAACAATTAAAAAATAAAGATTCCACCTTTACGCGGTTTGACTCAGTGGATAGAGTGTTGGCCTGCAGACTCAAGGGTCTCAGGTTTGATTCCCATCAAGGGCATGTACCTTGGTTGCTGGCACATATCCAGTGGGGAGTGTGCTGGAGGCAGCTGATCAATGTCTCTCCCTCATTGATGTTTCTAACTCCTATCCCTCTCCCTTTCTCTCTGTAAAAAATCAATAATAATATATTTTATATATTTATTTATTTATTTATTTATTTATTTATTTATTTATTTATTTTAATAAAAATATATTTTGAAAAATAAAGAGTCCAGTAAACACCCACGGGTTTGCAGGTACACAGACTTGTTTGGAAAGGACATGGAATAGTTAGGGGTTGTTGCTTTCAGCCAATTCCCCTAGGTCAGAATTTCCTCTTACAAACTTACCAATTAAATCTTCCACACTCTCCCAGTGTTTTGATTGGAATTAGTCAGGACACTTCCAGTTCTGAGATCTGGAGTAATGGTTCTCAAAGAGAAATGATTTTGCCCCAGGGGATATTAAATGTCTGAAAAGAGCCCTAGCCAGTTTTGTTCCATGGATAGAGCGCTGCCCTGAAGACTGAAGGGTCCCTGGTTTGATTCAGGTCAGGGGCACATGCCTGGGTTGTGGGCTTGATCTCCAGTGTGGGGCATGTAGGAGCCAACCAATTATTTTATCTAATCATTAATTTTTCTATCTCTTTCTCCCTCTTCCTTCCTCTCTGAAATTAATAAAAATGCATTTAAAAAATGGAAAAAAAATGTCTGAAAAGAGGCTGCTAAACACCTATAATGCACAGGACAGGTCCCAGCACATCTTGTTATCCAGCTGCCAGTGTCAGTTGTGAAAAGGAGGGAACACCTATCCTAGAACAACACCTCTCCATTTCATGGGCACACAAATCACCAAAGTTTGCAGCTCAAACGCAAATTCTGATTTATCAAGTCTGATTTATGGAGACTGCATTTCTGACAAATGCCCAGGTGATGTTGTGGCTGCAGGTCCTCCTGGTCTGTGGACCACACTTTGAGTAGGTGGGTCATGGCTCTGGGTCAGAGTCTGGTGTAGGTAAATTTAGGTCTTCTCTACTAGAAATCTTCTGTATATGTAATGTTGAAAGACAAGCTTTCTCTCACTCTAAAGGGAATGATAAATTCTGTGTTTGATTCTTTTATTTTAGGGCTTCAAAGTGACATCAAAATATTTTATACCTGAAAAGGGTTTTGTAATAGATGAATAAGGACCTCGAAAGATATCAATGTCCTGATTAGAACGTGGGAATGTTAGCTCACAGCAGGGTAATTAAAATAGGTGAAATGAAATTGTTAGCTAAGGAGATCAGCTCAGATTACCCAGGTTGGTCTAACATTATCACAAGGGTCCTCTAAATGTGGAAGAGAGCAGAAGAAGAATTGGAGTCAGAGAGACATTTGAAGATGTTATGCTGCTGGTATTGAAGAGGGAGGGAGGGCCATGGGCTAAGGAATGCAGGTAGATTCTAGAATCTAGAATAGGAATTGAGAATAGGAAAGGATTTGGAGAGGGATTGCATTCTCCTCAGACCGCCCAGAAAAAAATGCAAGCCAGACAGTTATTTTGATCTAAGCCCTTTAAGAACCCATGTTAGGCTTTAACCTCTAGAACTGAGAGATAGAAAGCTCTTTGTTTTAAGCCACTCGTATGGTGATTTGTTACACCAACAATGGGAAACTGATAACATACATTTACCCAGTAAAATATTGAGAGAAAAACTCTGTGTAAGCCTCCAAACCATTCAGCCAGCTGTCTTTGAACAAAACTATTTTGTGTCCAAATTCCAAGGTATTTAGAAAAAATTAGAACTATTTGTGTCCATAGATGATAAAAAGAATTTCTATTCATATAATTGAAAATGTGGTTCTGATCTTGTGTTCTTTGAGGTATTAAGATAAAAAATCATATAATAAGATTAATTTTGCATATTTTACTTTAACTTTCTGTTTCAAAATTTTGATATTTTTTTCTATTTCATGTTAATTCACACATTTCTTTTTTAAAATTTCTATATTATCTAAATTTCTCTCTAGGTATCTTTCATCATAAGAGATGGGATTCTGATTGTGTCTGGGTGTATGTACATAAGTGTGCGTGAGTGCATATATTTGAAATATGTATACAAGTGCACACACATACACACACTCCTTACTCTTAAGCATTTTCTTTGGACTCAACAAACTATATTTAACATTTTATTTACCCCTTATTATGTCAGGTTGAAGTTAACATTTATTATTCCACATTATCTACAGAAAGAAAAATATTGAAGCCAGGTGGATTCCTTTTTTTCACAATAACATAATGCACTAAAAACTTACTGTGTATCATCACAAATTTTGTACCAATAGACTCACCCACTATATATTATTAATTTATATGTGGCTTCTTCATTTTGCAAATTATACCTATAAAGTATATGCAGCTCATTGTATTCAATTATACTCCAATAAATTAGTGAGAATTGAACATTTTAGTGATGTGTAACTCATGTCAGACCAAGAGCACAGGCAGCTGAGTCACACCAGACTCCAGTTGAAAATATATCTTACTAGAGCCTAGTGCATGAAATTCCTGCAGTTGGGGCGGGTGGTGGGGATGAGAGGAGGCTGTCCCTCAGCCCAGCCTGTACCCTCTCCAATCTGAGACACCTGAGGAGATGTCCAACTGCAAGTTCAGACCAAGAGTTGGACATCTTCTCACAATGGGGGACTGCTCTCCTGCCTGCCTGCCTGATTGCTCTTACCCCACTCCCCTGCTAGCCTGATTGATGTCTAACTTGTCCTCTGCTGGCACATTCACTCCCACCTGCCCTCCCCTGCTGACCTAGTTTCCCCTAACTGCCCCCCCCTCCACAGGCCTGCTCTCTCCCACCTTTTCTCCCTACAGGACTGCTTGCCTCCAACTCCCCCACTGCTGGCCTGATCACCTCCAACTGAACCCCACTGATGGTCTGCTTACCCCAATGGCCAAGCCTTCCAAAAGCTTGATCACTCACAACTGCTGATGCATCCTCACTTGATCACCCAAAACTGCCCTCCCCTCTTGGATTCTATCTGTCTTTACCTTGGCTCCACCACCATGGCTTAGTCCAGAAGAACAGCCAAAAGTCTCCTGGAAAGTCTGCAGTCTAATTAGTATATTACTCTTCTATTAGTATAGATAACTGGAAGAGAGCAAGGTCTCATATATAAGTATAGGAACTGTGATATTAAATAAAGGCAATTAACACTTTATTAATTTTATTTACATAAACTGTAAAATCAACACACACAAATACCCCATAGATCTATCTATACCTATATCTCCATCTCCATCTCCATCTCCACCTCCATCTCTACTATATCTATATCTATATCTATATCTATATCTATATCTATATCTATTTCTATTTCTATATCTATATCTATATCTATATCTATATCTATATCTATATCTATATCTATATCTATATCTATATCTATGTATCTATCTATAAAACATCACCTATTGGATAAAGAAAGAAGTATAATATATTATGAAAGAGGTTTAGAAACATAATGTATTAACTAATGAGAAGTCCAGAAGTGATCAGGAAAACTCCTACTTAAAATCCTATTTTATCATAAAGCCATAATATTAAAACAAGTGCTTCTAAGGTGGCTTGTTATGCAGAAATAACTGATACATAATAAAAGAAAAGAAAACAGATCAATTTTAACATTCTTTTCCCCAATTTAGGCATTTATACAAATATTTGAAGATGGCATTCAAATTATACTGTTAATAAAATTTATTTCAGGTAACTGCATCAAAAGTAACTCCACTGAGATTCCCTTGTAGGTAACCAGAAGACCCTTAAAGAATAAGCATGTTTGTATAAAACCTATGACTCTTAATCACAAAACTGGACAGCAATCCAAGTTCTCTGGTGAGTCATCCTTTGTGCACTTATGTACAAATATGACATATTGATAGATCACATAATGTATATAATAAGTGATAACATAGGGTTCATTCCCTATTCCTTTAGTGGTTAAGTCAATTTTTAGAGTAGGAGGAGATGCTTCATTTATTGTAAAATAACAAAGGGAGCCTTAGCGGGTTTGGCTCAGTGGATGAAGTGTCAGCCTGCAGAATGAAGGGTCCCAGGTTCGATTTCGGTCAAGAAGATGTACTTTGGTTGTGGGCACATCCACAGTGGGGTATGTGTAGGAGGCAGCTGATTGATGTTTCTAACTTTCTATCCCTCTCCCTTTCTCTCTGTAAACAAACAAACAATAAAATATATTAAAAAATAAAATAAAATAACAGAGGGAATCCTATTGTAGGCTGCAATGAAAGTTTTCAAGTGGAAGCAGTAAGATAGTTCAATAGGAAACATCAGTATACCAAACCAAACTCCACAGTGATAAACCCCTAACACATGGACATCAACCTTACATACATCAATAATTAACTTACACCACACACAAAATAGTTTGCATAGCAATAAATGTATGCCTAAAATTTTTTCTTCCTTATACTTAAGTTCATCTCTGACTCTCAGGGCACATTATGTCAAATCATTAAAACCAGAATTGGAGACATGGACTTGATTGTCAGATTACTAGTGACTATGGTAAGAATGTGGATACAAAGCTAAATAAGATACAGGATCCTAATGAGGGAACAACAGCCAGATGACCTCTTATAACACACACTATATGTTAAAGTCTACATTTTCAGAAAGAGTACATATGGTAGTGATCTATGAAGAAATAATATACCAAAAGGATTAAACTGTGCTCTTATATTTTCTTCTTCTATGAAATGATAGAAATAACTTTGGTGATCAAGTACAATTTCTTTCAATAGGAATATTCCAACTACTCTTTCAGTAAAATGAAAGAAAAATTACTCAGTATGATAGATTTCACTTCAAAATAAATTGTTCTTAATATATTCATGTAGACTCATTTGATCAATGGGAATTTCCAAATATTTCATCAAAGGTTGGGAATCAATTTGGGAGAGGAGAAAACAACAAAGACAAAGCTGTTTAGGTATCACAAAATCAAGAAATTAATAAAGTGATTCAATGAAATTATATTGCAATCATAGAAAAAGAAAATCCAGAATATGAACAGAGAGTAAATTCTGCTTACATAACTAGATAAAATATTACATCTGGCTCAGAGGCTTTGAGTCCAGCTGTCATGTGCATTTCTTCAACCCTAGGACAACTAGACCTTTTATAGCTACCATCCCAAGAAATCTTTTCAGAGCCCTTTTCATGTCTTGGTTCCTGAGACTGTAGATAAAAGGGTTCAGCATGGATGTGACCACTGTGTACATCACTGAGGCAGCTGCATTTGAGTGTGAGCTCTGGGTAAAAGCAGAACTGAGGTACACGCCTATGGCACCTGTTCCATAAAATAAGCAGACAACTGAGAGGTGAGACACACAAGTAGAAAATGCCTTATACTTCCCCTGAGCTGATGGGATTGTACATATAGAGGACACTATCTTAGAGTAAGAATAAAGGATACCAGCAAAGGGACCACCACCCAAGAGCATAGCTCCGAAATACATCACCATTTTAGTAAGAAAGGTGTCAGAACACGCAAGTTCAATCATCTGATTGAGTTCACAGAAAAAGTGTGGGATTTTCAACTCAGGACAGAAAGACAGCTGCAACACCATTAAGCATTGTAACAAGGAATGCAGGCCACTTATGATCCAGGCCACCAGAACCAGCAGTCCACAGAGCCGGGGGTTCATGATGACCATGTAGTGCAGGGGGTGGCAGATGGCCACAAACCGGTCATAGGCCATTACAGTCAGGAGGAAGCTGTCCATTCCCACAAACAATATGAAATAATACATCTGGGTGATGCAGCCCCCATAGGTTATGGCTTTGTTTTGTTTCTGGATGTTCCACAGCATCTTTGGGACAGTGGTAGAAGTGAAAAAGATGTCTACCAAGGACAGGTTGCAGAGGAAGAAGTACATGGGTGTGTGGAGGTGGGAGTCAGAGCTGACGGCCAGGATGATGAGCAGGTTTCCCAACACAGTGACCAGGTACATGGAGAGGAAAAGCCCAAATATGAGGGGCTGCAGTTCTGCTTCCTCTGATAATCCCAGAAGAAGAAATTCTGAAAATCCTGTGAGGTTCCGTAGTTCCATGTGGTGGAGGTGACTACCAGGATATAGGAAAGGTAACATGGCTAATTTCCCACAAACAAGCATTAGTAACTGAGTATAAACACTACCATCTATATTATAAAATCAAGGAATTAATTTCTGTATTTGATGTATGGTCTGGTCACCTTTAGGACATCATAATGCTGTTTCTCATTAAGCTTTTCTATGTGAAGGCACATGAAGAATTCTTGTGTCTTACTCAATTTTTTCAGAAAGAAAAATAATTTTTAAAAAGCAAGGGATTACCTGCAGAGGTCAGCAAGTTAACTATAGTTAATAATACTGTATTGTGTATTTGAGAGTATCCTGAGTGTAAATTTTAAGTGACTTTATCACAAGAAGAAAATATTGTAAGTATGGTGGTGACCGATATTAACTAGACTTACTGTGTAGGTCATATTGCAATATATACAAATACAGAGGTATTATATATCTGATTGACATAATATAATATTTTATGTCAATTATACTTCATTTAAAAATTTATAAAGTAATGTAGAGGACAGTATAAGACTGACTGATTGGGTCACACAAAATTTATAAATTTTATACTCATATACATTAAAACTAAATGAGAAATAGTCAGTTTATTTAAAAACCTCCAATTCCTTGTTAGAAAGAATCCAATAAAAAATAAAATAAGAGAATATAAGCAATAATATTGTGATAAATCTGCACAATGACACATGAATACAAGACTAGGTGTGGTGATCACATTCTAATGTATATAAATGTTGAATTACTATAGTGTATGCCTAAAACTAATACAATATTCTACACAAACTATACTTAAACAAAAAGTGAAAAAAAATACTTTGATATAACTATTGAAAGCAAAGAACTTTCATGTGTACAACATAGTGCAAGCTTTTTAGATGCCAACTACACTTTAATTTAAAATAAATTAATAAGTATGTAAAGGGAAAAAAGCTTACATAGACAAATTTTAATAGACACAAATAATTTACAAACCAACAAATATCATTACTCAGTTTCACTCAGTAATGAAATAACTGCAAAGTAAATCTTATTACCTTATTTGTTTTCACCTATCAAATAAAATTTTGAAATATGAATAGCCAAGGTGAGAGAACAAATTGTGAAATACATGTCTCATGCACTGTGATTGCAAAGGTGTATTTGCAGCCATCCTTGATCTGTAGCTTTCTCTCCCATATGGAAACAGTCTAATATGCCCCATCATAAAATTTAAAAAAATGCTTTTACATCACTGAATATCCCTTCACAGTTAATAACCTATTTGTCTATTCCTTTTAATAAAGCCACTGAAAACAATAGACAAATTTTTCTACTTCTACTGGAAGGACTTCATACCTCCAATGCCCTTTCTTTTCTTTTTTTTTTAAATAGTTATGGCTGTTTGGTGTTTTTTTTTTTAAAAAAATATGTCTTTATTGATTTCAGAGAGGAAGATAGAGCGAGTTAGAAACATCAGGAAGAGAGAGGAAGTTAGATGAGAGAGAATCATTGATTGGCTGCCACCTACATGCACCCCACTGGTGATCGAGCCTGTAATCCCAACATGTGCCCTTGACCATAATCAAATCTGGGACTGTTCAGTCCATAGGCTGCTCTGTCTGCTGATCAAAATCAGCTACAGCACCAATGCCATTTTTAAATTTGCATTCCATGAGTAGCATTTAGATATCAACATTGGAACTTACATTTCTGAGTGCAGTGTTCACTTTATTTGAGCATCATGAGTAACCCATTACTGTGTTAGTAAAGCCAGCTAACAATTACAATGATCACTGGTACCTGGGCTCTGTTCTAATAGGTATTAAGGTAACTTCAGGTACAAGTTCTTGGTTTCCAATCTCTCTGATCCTCTCCTGCCATGTCTGTTGGGCTCTCACACTCACCTGCATGGGAACTCAGACAGGAAGGGTTCCCTATGGAGGTCCAAATCCTTGCCTGGATAAATGGCAAGACAAGACAACAAGGCATCAAGCAATGTTTTCCCGACAGACTTGGGACTTTAAAAGCAACAACTATGTGCCTTCCTGCCATGTTCCTTCCTACCAATGATTGCACGAGCTGAGGGTCTGCAGTAGTGTTTCAATATCCGTGCACCGTGTCTGCTCATTGGGCACTCTTACTTTTTGTTACTCTTACCTGTAAGCACAGGATTCCCCTGGGGGACACTAGTCTGGACAGAATAGAAACTCTTCCTGATAATTCTCTGTTCCCTGGAGACTATGTACTTAGCCAGGTGAGTGCTGATGTGATTAGTCCTTCATTAAATGCTTTGCTTCCTGATATCCACATCTTTCAGCAACTCTTCTCAACTCTGAGTTAAAGTTTCTAAATGAATGGATCTCGAGGGTATTATGCTCAGTGAAAGACAAATATCATGTAACTTCACATATATGTAGAATCCAAAGAGCAAAAAAATTTTGAAAGACATTCATAAACATAGGGGAAAAAGTGGTTGTTGCCAGATGAGAAGGTTTTTGGGAGACTAGGAGAATGAGAAGAAGGGATTAAGAAGAAAAATAGTAGTTAGAAAATAGTCATAGGCTATTATATATAGTACAGCATAGAGAGTATAGTCAATAACAAGGTAATGACTATTTATGTGGCCAGGTGGATACTGAAAATATCAGGGTAACACTTTGTAAAGTATATGATAGTCTAAGCACTATGTTGTGGTCCTGCAGCTAATAAAAAATATTGGAAGTTAACAGTATTTAAAATTGGTCTATCATTGAGAAGTCCGTCTGACTGTTTTTTGGGTCTTCAAAGCATAGATTTTTGGGGGGAGACACAACCCCTGATATTTCTAGAAAATAACTATTTCCTTCTTTAAGAAATATGAGATATTTGTACCTTTCATATAAAACCTTGGGCCCTCTACCACTTGGATTCATGATGGTTTAGCCAAAGCAATTAGGAATTTGATAGTTATAGCACAAGTTAAGAACTGCCAGTTAGTCCCTCACTATAAAATGTTTATGAAATATGAGATACATTTAGGTTTTGTGCACTGCAACCAGCTAGCACATTATTATAATAAGAAAATGTATGTTTTACAAACATGCATTTTTGAGGTAGTCCATCTATAAACTACCTTCTCCAATACAGAAATAGGATCCAGAGGCATTTAATGTTGTGCTCCAAGGTATAAATCACAAAAAGGATGGAGTTTTGACTAGAATCAGTCAGGACACTTCCAGTTCTGAGGTTGTGGGCAGTGGTTCTCAAACAGAGATGGCTTTACTCCTCGGGTATGGTAAAGTCTGAGGGAGCCCAGTAAACTCTCACAGTGCACAGGACAGCACCCAGCGTGATTAGTGACCCAGTTCCTAATGTCACAGTGAAAAGGTGAGAACACCGATTCCAGACAAGCACCTCTCCAATTCATTAGGCATACAAATCACCAAAGTTTGTTGTTTAAATCCAAATCCTGACTGATAAGTCTACCATGGATCCAGACCCAGGTGATGTTAATGCTGTGTAAACTTTATAGCTCTGAATCACAGACCTGGACTAGAAATTCAAGCTCTCTGGTGAATTACTCTTTACTAACTTTTGTCCATACTAGAGGCCTGGTGCATGGACTCGTGCACCTGTGGGGTCCTTTGGCCTGGCCTGTGCCCTTTTGCAATCTGGGACACCTCAGGGGATGTCAGAGAGCCAGTTCCAGCTCAATCCCTGCAAGCCAGGCCGAGGGACCCCACTGGTCCAAGAATTGGTGCAATGGGCCAGTTTCAGCCTGATCCCCACAGGCCAGGCCAAGGGAACCCAACAGTGCATGGACTCCAGTCTACACAAATAAAAGGGCAATATGCTAATTAGATTGAACATATTCTAGAGCCACAGTGGCTGTGAGGGTCAAAGGTAGGCAGCTATAGTGGTGACTTCGAAGACTGAGGTCACTTTGCTGTGGAGGCCAGCAGTTGAAGCAGCAGCAGGGTGATGGGGGCAGGGGTGCCTTCTCCTGATTGGCCTTGTTGCTTCCTGCAGAGGGAGGACAGAGGCAGAAGCAGTGGTGGGGTAATGAAGGAGGCACCTACCCCTGATTGGCCCTTCACCTCCTTCAGAGGGAGGACAGACTGCAGCTTAGGACATACGCTAAGGGTTCCTGGACTTGAGAAGGGCCAGGGGACCAGACCAGGCTCAGGGACAACGTCCTCCCCCTCCCCCATGTCCTGGATGCCTGTGGCGGGCCAGAGGAGGGAAGCTCAGGTCCCAGTTGCCTGCAGTCAGCTGGAAGAGAAAATCCTGGACCCAGGTGTGGAGGCCAAGGCAGAGGTGCTTAGGGGCGATCAAGCAGGCAGGAGAGAAGTTAGGGATGGTCAGGTAGGCAGGCAGGTAAGCGGTTAGGAGCCAGTGGTCCCAGATTGAGAGAGGAGAGGGAATCCCTACTGCCCGGTTAGGCCCGGTCCCAGATTGCAAAGCGTTCAGGCCAGGCTGAGGGACACAAAATCGCCTGCATGACTTTTGCACACCTGGCCTCTAGAATGCATATAAGATCTTTGGTTAATCTCTTCCTGTCCTCTTCCTCCCCTCTTCCCTCTGAGATTCATCAGTCTGTTCCATGTTTCCATGCCTGTGGTTTCTGCTCCTGCATTGAGCATCTGCCCCCTGGTGGTCAGTGTGCATCATACCTATTGGCCAATTGGCCAATCACTTCTGCATGCATATATATATAATATATATATATATATATATATAATATTTATAGAGCACATATTAGTGTATATCATCAATAGCTGATAACAATATAGTTCATTCCCTAACCCTTTAGTAGTTAAGACCATATTTACAGTAAGAGAACATGCTTTATTTAGAATAACAGAGGAACTCCCATTTGTAGGCAGAAATGAAAGTTTTCCAGTGGAAGCAGGAAGATAGTTCAGTAGCTAACATCATTACACCAAACAAAGCACCACAGTGATAAATCCCTTTGCACATGGACACCAACCTTATATATCAATAATTTTACTTACACCACGAAAAAATTC